AAGGGAGACTCGGGTTTCCATTTATCTCACGATGTTTTATTGCAATGTATTAAAATGCGAATCGTGTATACAGGTGTGATAACTCAAAACAGCGAGTTAGTCTTCCTAAACATTTTTTAGTAATATTTCAATAGGATACTTCATAATAAGCTAATTTATCGAGTTTGCTAAATAAGCTGCTAGCCATTAACATAGGTTCTCCTTTTTTAGTTTCCCAAAGATTGCAACAGCCTACCACCGCATTTGCCGAGTGGGGTGTACATCATACAACCACTGGCAGACGAAGAGCCCATTGATGTTTACTGCGAGATGGCAATTCATGGTGGGGGCTTCACCTTTCTTCCTCGGGGCCTCACCAGAACTCTACATGCGGGCCTGATTGTCAATGCTTTGTTTCGAGACAGGAAAAACGTCCTACTGAAGTTGAAGAAGAGGGTCGACCTCAGCGAGTCATACACTCTGATCCAGCCCCATCCAAATTTCGCCCACACAGAGTTCGGGGTGTCAGTCAATAGCTTCGCCGGTTACACCGAACCAATAAACGCCTTCATGAAAGATTACATTTTACTTGGCATTATTCCAGCATCAACTGTACGAAATGGAAGTGAAGGTTTCATATCCAACGGGAACATAATCCAGTTTTCAAATTGCGACGGAACCCCCCACAGCTACTTTGCATTCTTTCCTAACTACAATCTGGAACCTCCCAGTAGCCGTTCTAACGCTGGCGGTATTGCGAACATTTGGCGCTCCAAGGCAATTGCCATCACCTATCCTGACCACAGTATGCCTGACGAGTTCTTTTTCTTAACAGAAGTGCATTTTGGAGGTTGTGGCACCTACTCATCCAGTGACCAATGGACCAAATATGGCTTTAATGCCACAGCCATTGGAATTCGCTAAGAAGTTGCCAGCCTTTTAAATTAATCTCAAAAACAGGCCATTTAGTGCTATGTATGTAACACCAAAGTAAGCCAAAAACAAAAAGAAAAGTTGTTAAAAGGAAAAACCCCTCCTTCTTTAAAACCCCACGCAAGTGACGACAGCAACACCTATAAAAGTATCATTCTGTACATTACAATCAATAAACAACGAATAGTAGTGGAGGACAATAGACCGAATGTAATGATGTAGATAATGTAATAACGTAGATTAGAATAGAACTGAGACTTTATCTAAGGTGGAGACACTTGACAGTTGCAAAAAAAAACCGAGAAAAACTAGCGGCCCTCTATGAACCACGAATACATAAATATTATATTAATACTAACATCATGCAACAATAGGAGGTCGCGTTCAAAGGTACTGAGAGCTATCCCCCACTCGTGATCAGTGCGAAAAAAAAAAAAACATGTTTGATAGACTCCGTCTGTCTAAACCACTAGCTAAAAGTGCAGTGAAAAAAAGTCAAGGAGTGTTTTCCAAGATGTTAATGATTTGGTTGTCGCATTTGATACACTGAACAAAAATTATTTTTACTGAGTGGGGAAACTATTTGACGCGACTTCAACGAGCGAAAATCGAATTCAAGGCTCTTTGTACTGACGTTTAGTCTGTTGAGATATTAAACATCATACTGTTCTTATCAAGTATGTGTTGGTATCTATATCGATTTACCACGTTACCGTGAGTATTTTTCAGAGCGTTCGCTTAAATATGGACGCGCTGTATCCATAATAAGATTTCCTTTTATAAAATAACTAAGATAGTACGCGCGCTATGATTGGCCGAGAGGAGTGTTTGCATGAGAGTATGTAAACATGGTTGTGGCGTCAAGTTGTTTGGCTTTTCACGCGCTAATAGCGCAAGCATGAATTTGAAAAAGTTTTCGAGTTCAAAACTCGACAAGTTTACTTTATTTACCCATTCCTTCTTCGGCTGAAAAATGGAAAATCGCTACAAAGAAGGTGAGTCAATTTTTCTCCGCTTAAGCTGATATTTTAAGCGAGAAAAACCCGTATTTTGCAAAGCATCTTTTTACAAAACAAGAACTGATTACGCGTGCAAGACTTCGTGGACAAGATTTTGCGAATGGTTAGAATTTCTCTTTTAATCAGTGCCGTACAAAGAGTTTTGCGTCTTTTTCTCGGGAAAGTCATTTTATAAAAGCAATAGAAAACTTTTTTCCTGTGTTTGCATAGCCTCATATAAATACTCGAGGCGTTGGGAGAATTCTCGACAGTTATGCAAACCCTCCACTTCGTTTCGGGTTTACATAACTGTATCTAATTCTCCCAACCCCTCTCGTGTTTATATCGGGCTATGTAAACAAGGAAAACATTTTCTATTGCTTAAATGATGCGCATGATCACTGAAAAGTGGCTAAATTAGAGATAGATAAATAGGCTTAACGTAACACTAGGCGCGAAAAAGGAAAATAAACGGTTGTTCAAAATTGTTTGAGTCTCTTAATCGATTCTTGAAAACCCATAAAAAAACAAGATCTACAGTAGCCTGCGAACTCTAAAATTTAGAAACATTAAAAAATTAAAATTACGAAGTTAAACCTACTACCGGTAAAATATCTACCTGAAAATGTGTAAAAAAAATTCAGTCTCTAAAACACTTAAGAGCTTCTAATTATACAGGAACTACGATTGTCGTTTATAGCTGAGATTTTCAAGGTAAATGGGTGGTACGTTGGATTTAAGAGATTGCAAGCTAGGTTTGTCTGTGGCTCTAACGTCTAATCTAGACCATGGTCTAAAGTACCTCATAGAATGTTTCCTGTAATGTACAGTATTGGGTATATGAAAATCCTTATTTCTTTAGTGATAGTTGGATGACTCAACACTAAAAATGTCACTAACATTTCAAAGTGAAAGTACAATATAAAAGGTCAGCAACAGGAATAAGCTCACTATAGTTACCTAAATAAATACGCTCATTGCGAAGCCGACCGATGATGTTATGATGATGGCGCATATTACGCCGTTTGAGTGTTTCTTTTTTCCGGGTTGGGTGCCTATTAGAGGTTAGAGATCAACAAGGTGTTGACGAGTCCAGCTAGTACACTGGTAGTCAAGATAGGGATTTGCTACAACAAAAGCCTAACCAGCCAGGGTGAGTATTTTACTAATTTATTGCTTCTAAAGTCTATTTTTGAATGTTTTGAAAAAACCACGGGTGTAAGACTCCGTTAAACCACAAAAACAGAGACTTCGAGACTTACCCTAAACGGCTTTTTCCGAGTTTTTCGAGAGAGGATATAAAATAGTTTTCGAGATCCATAATCAACCAAGACGTTCACCATGGGATAGTTCAGTGAAGATCTGAAAACCTCATTAAATTCTTAAAACTTCATTATAGAGCTGTTTTAATTTTATTGTTCGCCTTGCTGAGACTGACTCCCAGTCAGTTACGAATGTTGACATGAGGCAAAGAGTGACTCCGGAGCTCAGCTTTTAAATGTAGCCGAATGTAACTTCCAAGGTACGTTGGGAAAACGAAAAATTAGTGAGAAAGGCAGATCTTTTACCTTGAGACAAGAAAGGATAAAATTCATCCCTCCATGCTAGAGAACAGTTGTTATCTGTAATATAACAAAGTGGACGTAAAATATCGTACGGAACTCAATTTCCTATTAAGGGTGCTCTATACAATCCAGTCTTAAAAGCCCAGTTAGAACTCGTCGCAGCAACTTGAATAATTTTGTTGAGATATTCTTATTTCTCCCGTTTTTCTTGCTAGAACTTGGGGTGTTCCTTATAATTATATCAACTATGTCGATGCGCAACGATGTAATACTAAAAGGAGCAAAATGTTTAAAAATCTTTGAACTTTGGGACAAATGTGATTGCTCAGTAAACATCTTCCCTCTCCTATTTTCTAGAGTCCTTCATTTCTCAGACATTTTTCCACCAGCTGAAGATTGTTATAATTGTTGGCTAAAGGTAAGGTTTTTTGCAAAAGCCTTGCTATTTGAAGGCCAAGGGATTTCTCAGTTTGGTTTCATTGACGTTTAATGTTTGGTTTTCCAGTTTACATGTAAAACTCCTTTTCTTTTATTGCAGATGCATTACTTGACTTTCTTGTCGTTCTTTTTACCGTAATACCGTGGGAGTCAAATGGCGTTAGAAGGCCAGGTTACAACGGCGAGGTATAGATAGCAACGAGTCCATGCACAGACTATAACTACTCAATGCTTTCTCTTTTTAATTTAATGAAACCATTCTTAATATCCTGACTATTCAGAGGCAACCAAATGCATTGAAAACATTTTTTTAGACTATACAGAGTACTTTTAGACCTTTACAAATGCGTTCTAAGCAGAGCTATAAAATTTGTATGTGTTCGGTCATCCTAGGGAAACTAAGTCTTTTTGAAATTGCAAGGGCTTCAGTATTATTTTCGCGAAAATTCTAGATACATATTAGCGAGTTACGAAAGTAAAGATTTTTTTTATTCCTCTCTCTATCACATTTTTGAATCCGAAAACTTTAGGTTTCCTTTTTCGTACGAAAAATAGTCTAACCTGGAGTGTGAAATGTGAAAAATATGCTTCAGGAAATCTAGGGACGAATTTATACGAAAATTGTACATGAATGGAACGGTCTAGGGCTCTACGCAATATTTGCTTCTCCGAACAGATATTTTACAGCAGTCGCCTGGTGGCCCTGACTATTGCCTCGAAATCCCCACCCCCCTACTCCCCCTAAGCCCCCTAAAGTATTAATGCATATTCTTCCTCTTTTCAGTTTCCCAAAAACTGCCGTTATCTACCACGTAGTTCACCGAATGGGGTGTACAAGATACGACCGCTGCCATACATTAAGCCTATTGAAGTGTTCTGCGAGATGTCCATCTATGGCGGTGGATTCACCTTTCTTCCTTGAAGCCTAACTAGAGCACCACATGCCTACAGGATTGTAAATGTACTTTTTCGAGACAGAAGAAACGTCTTGCTGAAGTTGCAGAAGTTGCATCCTTACTTCACCAGAACGACGTTTGGGGGGAGGGTCAACAGCTACCACGGTTACACTGAACCAGTCAACGCTTTCATGAGAGATTACATTTTTCTCGGAATAATTCCAGCATACAAGGCACGCCACCGTAATGTCCAAGGCTTCAAATCCAACGGGCACAAAATCCAGTTTAGAAATTGCGATGCCAATCCGAACAGCTATTTTGCATTCTTTCCAAACCACAATATGCAAACTCAAAGTAACTACTGGGCCAAATGTGGTTTTGAAACTCGCTATGTGGCTGTAGATTGGCGCTCCAAGGCAGTTCCCATCACCAATCCTGTTCGCACCATGCCGAACGAGTTCTTTTTCTTGACAGAGCTGCATTTTGGTGGTTGTGGTACCCACACCTCCAGTAACCGTTGGTTCAAGTTTGGCTTTCAAGCCACCGCCATTGGAATTCGCTAAGAGTGGGGCGATCATAACATTTAATCTTTCTCGCCTTTGGGGTGTTCATACTGTTAAATATTGAACGTTTCAGTTTTTAAATAGTCTTGATAAAATAAAAACATTGGCTGATTTTAAGTTATATGCTTTTTGAATTTGTAAAACATTAAGATTCAAATGAATCCATTTTTAAGCTTAAGTCATACAAGTTTTAAGGTAAATTCATGGCAAAGGAAAAACAGGCTTAATGTAACACTAGGCGCGAAAAAGGAAAATAAACGGATTTTAAAAATTGTTTGAGTCTCTTAATTGATTCTTGAAAACCCATAACAAGACCATATCTACAGCACCTTGGAAAATTTTCATCAGTAGGACTTATATGAAATTTTGCATCAGTGTATCAGTGTACCAGTACCAGTGTCACACAATGGATGTTCCTAAAACAAGGAACGGGGTAATGAAAACTAAACAGAGAAATGGAAAAGAAGTTACTGATAGAGCCACAGGTAGCCCAAGCGTAATATGAGAGTTTGTATGGGAAAAATAGAAATTGGTACCTTACGATCACCTTCCTGCAATCTTTTCGATCAAGTTGTGCCATCCAAACGCAAGGTTTAGCGGAACGGATTGCAGGAAGGTGATCTTAAGGTACCACTTTGTAGATTCGGCGGCGTAAAATGTAATTGTGTTTGTTTTTTCGCGTCAAATTTGGAGCTGATTCTGAGCAGCTTTAAAGATCGATCGAGCGATTCTGTCTTACTTTGTCTCTTATTATTACACTGTCAGGTCAGATGATGTAAAGTACTCAACTCAAACCGCGCTGAATCCGTCGAGCGAATCACGATCAGTACACTGTAAATTAAAAATATCTGTTTCAACCAGAACTTGCGCATGCCACTTATAGCCCTGTAGGCCGAAGACTGATTCATCCTCTCCTGAGGCCATTTGAGTACATTTTAACCCAAAGCAGCCCGGCCCTATCATCAAAGACCTATTCCAGCCCACGCTTAGACTCATTTTAGCCCGCGTCGAGCCCGTGGGCGCGCCCAACTGAAATCAGCCCAAGCTAGCTGGACTGTATTGGCAGTAAATGAGGAAGTCAAATTAGACCCCCAAAATAGGATTAAATTTTATTTCCCCGAAACGGACCCAATTTTAGTGCTAAACCGATCTTCATGATTAACAGTGTATTTCTGTCGAATTGATGCAGATTCAGGCAACCGTTTCTTAAATAGGACTTTTAAAAGTCCTACGCTCTGTATTTTAGTAGAGATCGGTTGTGCAGAAGAATGGCATGTTTGTATCAGCTGGATCACCTTGTCTCTTCATTTCGAAATTTCTGTTTTAGTTAATTATTTCATTGACATTTTAATGGAAGGCAATTTTTTTTCGTTATTGTGATAATGCACAGATACTGGATTGGATTAGATACTGTGAAGAATAGTGCAATAACTATCCACCAGTTTGTTTGTTTTGCAAAACTACCAAGTTTTCTGCAACCATATTTTCCCTTTCATTTGCCAAAGGATTGTAAACGGAAAGGTACCATACTTTTCTTGCTCGACAAGTAAACCAAACTAATCACTATAATAAGTGTCTCCACGTAAACGTGGAAAACTTTTATCTCTCAGTTCCTCTTATGCTTTTGTCAAAGTATAAAACCCACGACTTTGCCCACCAATTAAATTACTAAAAAGCTGGTCAGTTTTAAATGTTGGCCACTTTTACTTTAAGGCCAAAATTGACGATAATAGCTAAACTCTTTTGCCGCTTGTGAGGCAAAAAAAACTACATTGAATAAACCCTTCAAAAGTTGTGTTTTTTTTTTTCAAGTTTTGAGAAAGACCAGTTAGCGAAGATCCATTGAAACTGCTAAAAAAAGCTGGAAACTTACCAAGCTTACCAGCAGGTGATACGTTGGAAATGAGCAAAGATATTGCTCAATAATAAAGACGCGAAATTTTACAAATGTTTGTATGGCGGGGGCACGAACTGGCCTACTCCCCCATTCCTTCCCCTCCCCTCCTTTCCACTCCCCATCATATAAACGCCTGGAAAATATTCAATGTCTATATCTTCGTAAAATTTTCAATGGCTATGTCTTCGTTAGGTTTCAACAAATCTCGTTTAAACGGGAATAATTAAGAACAGGGCAAGCATTTTTGATATTGTAGGCAATGGGGCAATATTGTCATCCACCTGTTCGTTTTGCATGTAAGAAACGAAAGTTTTCCTTGAAGAGGTTTTCCCTCAAACTTTAAAAAAAAAAGCAGTGTCAATACACTGAAGGTCTAGCCCATTTTTTTATAAAGAAGGGAAAATCAACAGCTATAATTTTTCTCTACGTGATTATAAGAAAAACTTGTCATGTGAGTGTGTTTACCTTTCGGTTCCTCTTGAGCATTAGTCGAAGCAAACCACTTACCCAACAGCTGAACTATTTATGAATTAAAGCCTGTTTTAATTTCATTTTTTTTTGTCACTTAATCACCAATACTCTTTCCAAAAGTGACGATAATAATAACCAACCTTTTCGTCCGCTCTTGAAACAAAGCCATACTGAATGTAATATCACTAAACTTGTGGCTAGATGCTAAATTAAACACACACCTAATCTCACGAGTTTGCAACTGTTTTTATACATCTTTCATTTTTATCAAGTTATTTAATTTTGTAAAAAAGACTAGTTTGACTTCCGAGTTTTGCTATGCTTTTATCATGACGTATGTTTTGTATGATTTGCAATAGAACATCTCGCTAAGTGTACATTTCTTATGTTATGTTTTATTTTAATTTTATTTCTCTATATTTGTATTGAAGATAAATGACTCGCTCACACTTGTCTTTAAATCAATGAATGCGGGATTTTGCTACATTGTAGCTTAGATGCAGAAGCAACCTGAGAACTATTATGTATTGCGATAGAGGTTTTACAGATAAATTGATATATTCCTAGCCGCTGAAGCGAAGGAACTGGTCGTCCTTTCAAATTGCCGGGGGCGTACCTAAGACTTTTCAGAGAGATGACGTGTCGACATCTATTACGTGTGTTACTAAAAGTGACATTTATTTGGATAAGACATCGCCATTCAAAGACATCTAATTTTAGAATTTATCAACTTTTTAGCATCTTTGCAGGTTGGGGGAAGGTTTCACGGGCAACATGGGACCCCTCCTTGCTATGCCATTGTTTCTGTCAAATTTTGTACGAACAATAATTATGTTCTTTAATATAGTAGGGCAGGGCTTCACTCCTGGATATTGTGGACGCAATTATTATCCACATGTTTCTTTGTTTTACAATTTTACCGCATACTTTTGTTAATTAGTGTAAATGGAAAAAATGACAGGTTTGTTTTCAATCCTCGACAAGCAAAACAAAATTGCTACAAATAGTTTTTCTCCACGTAAGCATGGAAAATTTTAAATAATTTGTCTATTCCTCTAAATCATATCATGAACTTTCCTTTTGTGAAAGTAATCCACCTTTATCTTTAGCATACAGTTCAATTATTCAAAGCCTCTCCCTGTTTTAATGTTTCATTCTTAATCTTTACAAAATTATTATAATTAAAACTTCAAAACGTTTATACCTGATTGGAGCATTTTATCACCATTAATAAGGCGTTTTTAAAGCGGTTCACCACGTGCGGTGAATACTAATCACGAAAACGGAAATTTCCACCGAACGACATCCTGAAACTTCAATCCATGATAGAAGGTTGAGATATCGGTTAAAATGATTTGGTTTCTTAGTTTTTGCTTCATTCCTTCTCTAGTCTTCGCCGCCGGAAACTTAAGATCTGCCTACTTCAAAAGTAGTAAGAATAAGTATTTAGCAGGCCAACCGGTCAAAAAAATTGATTCACCCAGCCTTATTTCATGCTGCCAGGCATGCTTAGAGCACTCTTGGTGTACCTCTGCTAACTTTAAAGAGCCCTTTGGGATAAGCAGCAATGGTAGTTGTGAACTAATCAAGAAACAGTTCTCTCCCGTAAGAGATAAAGCCAAGCTTACTGATCGACCAGGTACTACTTTCACGAGAAAAATGGTAAGAGTAGTATTGTGTAAAATATACATAGCACGTATCCCAAGGTGGATTCCAAAGGACCCACGTAGTTTGTTTGAGTTAGCAGGGGCTCAAATCAAGTTAGTTTGTTGTAGTCGAAGATGTACTATGAATAGAGTATCATATGGAGAAGATGGATATTATAATATTTTGTTTAAAATCATATTAAGCTGATGGCTTTAGTAAAACTTGCGGTTTTCTAACTAAAGACACTCTTATCGCTTTTGCCCATGAGAGCCTTAACTTAAGTCAAAGTCCCTAAAATGATGATCACCAACTTAACTTCATACTTGCTGTTAATCGCTCTATACCTAGTTCTTTATTTTGTTTGCTGTCATTGTTGTCTGCCTTTCATTGTGAGATTTGATAATTGTGTTTTCGAGGGGCCGTTTCGGATCGTAATTTACCTAGTCGGGGCCGAACCTCAATATTCAGTTTTGTTAACTAGCACCTGCCAGCCATTACGTTGGCAAATCTCCAATAAATGAATATAAAAAAATGTCGTGCTTGAACATTGTTGAAAAAAATTTTGCCCCCAAAAAAGTCCAACATTTCAACAACACGACTTTCGCAGACTATTTATATCAATTATCGTGTTTTTTAAGGAGAAGAATGAGAAGGATGTTAGAGCCGTTTATACGAGAGAAAATAAGCCGCAGCTTACGTAAGGCATGAACACCCCGTATAAATGGTACAAAATCTACATTCACGGCTTATTCAACCTACGGCCAGCTCAAGTCGCGGCTCATCCTGGCCGATGACTTTTGGGTTGGACTTATCCAAGTCGCAGCTTACCGTGGACGTGAAAGTGTCCGTGTAAATGCACTCATTGATCGACTCGTTCGAGACACCGCTGTCACTGTGGGGCTAGGAACGCGTGTAAGATTTCGGAGAGAATCCAGAAGGACAGCTGCCCAATAACTGCTCTAGTGATCACAGGATTAATCAATAATTCCTTCCAATAAAGTATATCTTTCCTGACACATGGAAATTGGCGGAAAGCGTCCCAATACCAAAGGATTGAGACCCGGCGACCAATTCCATTATTGCCTATCTTGTCAAAGGTAATTAAGAGACTTGCCCAAAAACAGTTTTCTGACTTTTTAACAAGAATAATAAATTGTCAATTCATCAAAGTAGTTACAAGTGACACAATTCTACTGAAACTGCCCTTGTATATGTCAATGATCAACTCTTGAAAGCAGTTGAAGAAAAAACTGTATCATTGATAGTATTAATGGATATGTCCAAAGCCTTTGATCGCCTAGATCACAATTATCTCCTGACTAAGTTGCGCAGACTTGGCCTGATGCCGTCGGCTGCTGCTTCCTGGTTTTCTAGCTATCTATTATTTAGAAAGCAGGGCCGGGTCCGCTACGAACCAAGATTCTATCTCAGAAATACTTCCTATAAAACACAATGTAGGGGGTATCCCAGGGCTCAATCCTGGGTCCAATCCTATTCACCATGTATGTGGATGATCTTATGAATGAAATTAGTAATAGTCAAGTGAAACTGTATGTTGATGGTTATCAGCAGTTTTTCAAGTTTGAGGTATCAGATTCAGCTAACGCCATCTCAGGTGTGCTCAACTAATTCCTTACTTATCAACCCTGAAAAAACTAAGTTTATAGTCGTTGGTTTACCCCCACTCACCAGTCAGTTACCTCCTGTATCACTCACGGTACTAGGTATATCCGCGGTTTTAAGTTTCACAGGATCAATGTCTCAATTATAACATCCATATAACTAATACAGCTTCTACTTGTTTTCATCGGTTGGTACAGGTGAATAGGATAAACACCTATAAGACAGGAAGTCACTTATATTACTTATAAATAGCTTTGTTTTTAGCAAGTTATTTTATATTCAGTTGTTCCTCTGTATAGGGAAACACAGCTAAATCATTTTTTTTTTTAAATTTCGGATATACAAACAAATACAATACATTACATTTACAATTCATTACAATAAATTCTAATTATTGGTTACTAAATTTTACCTTACATTGAAATCAAACTTACATAACTTACAGCTAAATCAAACTCACATAAGCTGCAAATACTGCAGAATTTTGCTGCCCGGATTGTTTTAGGGTTAAAGAAATTTGTCCATATTTCTGAGGGTCAAAGATCTTTAAAATGGCTGAATGTTTCCGAGATTTTATTTAATGATTTAGTTTTAGTTTTTAAGTATGTAAATGGTCTGGAACCAAGTTATTTAGTTGATTATATTATAACACGTTCGGAAACCCATAATAGAAATTTAAGAAGGTCTGGAGACTTCCACGCTGCCGGTTGTCAGTAGGGTGCGAGGTTTTTACTTTCGCGGAGCTAAACAGTGGAATAACCTGTCTAAAGACGTTCAGGGCATTAAAGATATTAAGGTTTTTAAAGAAAGATTGGCTAATTGTATATTTAATGTATAATTTGTATATTTAATGCTATTAGTTATTATTTATCTGATCTATTGTTTTAATACTTAGTTTTTAGATCTTAGACCTTATTCCTATAATTTCATGTAATTAGTGAATTGTGTCACGAAAGCCCTGTAAAGGGAGACTCGGACTTTCAGTTATCTCACCATGTTTTGTTGCAATGTATTAAAATGCGAATCGTGTATACAGGTGTGATAACTCAAAACAGCGAGTTAGTCTTCCTAAACATTTTTTATTAATATTTCAATAGGATACTTCATAATAAGCTAATTTATCGAGTTTGCTAAATAAGCTGCTAGCCATTAACATATGTTCTCCTTTTTTAGTTTCCCAAAGATTGCAACAGCCTACCACCGCATTTGCCGAGTGGGGTGTACATCATACAACCACTGGCAGATGAAGAGCCCATTGATGTTTACTGCGAGATGGCAATTAATGGTGGGGGCTTCACCTTTCTTCCTCGTGGCCTCACCAGAACTTTACATGCGGACCTGATTGTCAATGCTTTGTTTCGAGACAGGAAAAACGTCCTACTGAAGTTGAAGAAGAGGGTGGACCTCAGCGAGTCATACACTCTGATCCAGCCCCATCCAAATTTCGCCCACACAGAGTTCGGGGTGTTAGTCAATAGCTTCGCCGGTTACACCGAACCAATAAACGCCTTCATGAAAGATTACATTTTACTTGGCATTATTCCAGCATCAGCTGTACGAAATGGAAGTGAAGGTTTCATATCCAACGGGAACATAATCCAGTTTTCAAATTGCGACGGAACCCCCCACAGCTACTTTGCATTCTTTCCTAACTACAATCTGGAACCTCCCAGTAACCGTTCTGACTCTGGCGGTGTGGCGGATATTTGGCGCTCCAAGGTAATTGCCATCAACTATACGGACCACAATATGCCGGACGAGTTCTTTTTCTTAACAGAAGTGCATTTTGGAGGTTGTGGCACCTACTCATCCAGTGACCAATGGACCAAGTATGGCTTTAATGCCACAGCCATTGGAATTCGCTAAGAAGTCGCATTTCTATTTCCATCTTTAGACTTCGCTTTCAACAGGGAAGTTGCCAGCCTTTTAAATTAATCTCAAAAACAGGCCATTTAGTGCTATGTATGTAACACCAAAGTAAGCCAAAAACAAAAAGAAAAGTTGTTAAAAGAAAAAACCCCTCCTTCTTTAAAACCCCACGCAAGTGACGACAGCAACACTTCTAAAAGTATCATTCTGTGCATTAAAATCAATAAACAACGAATACAAGTGGAGGACAATAGACCGATTGTAATAATGTAGTTAATGTAATAATGCAGATTAGAATAGAACTGAGACTTTATCTAAGGTGGAGACACTTGACAGTTAAACATGTTTGATAGACTCCGTGTGTCTGAACCACTACCTAAAAATGAAAGTCTAGTGAACAAAAATCAAGGAGTGTTTTTCAAGATGTTAATGATTTGGTTGTCGCGTCAAACGTTATTTTAACTGACCAGGGGCACCCAACATCAATTTTCGGAAAATTTCTGTTCGGAAGACGATTTGAGATCTAGAATTTTCGGAACATTTGATGTTAAATTTCTTGCTTGCCTGCCTCTCCTAGGATTTTCGAACATCTAAAAAATGGTAAAATTGCCCATTTTTAACGGATTTTTACCCTAAAAAGGTTACCTAGAGTTTTCGGGAGCCTTTTTTCTGGCTGAAATTTTCGAAAAGGTAAGTTTTGATCCCTATAATTTTTTCCGATCAATAGACTTTCAGGTAGGAAATCCGAACAGATAAAAATATGCCTATATCTATCGTTTAAATACTAAAATACGTTTAACAATGCTGTGTTTAAGTGGTGTTGAACTATATTCTCGTTGGGTGCCCCTTTGACGTGACTTCAACGAGCGAAAATCGAATTCAAGGTTTTCTCTACTTGTACTGACGTTTAATCAGTTTAGATATTAAACATCATACTGTTGCTATCAAGTATGTATATCGATTTAACACGTTACCGTGAGTATTAATAGAGAGCATTCGCTTAAATACGGACGCGCTGTATCCATAATAAGATTTCCTTATGATGCGCATGATCACTGAAGAGTGGCTAAATTAGAGATGGATGAATATGTTGATGTACTTTTTGCTCAGTGAGACTGCTTCATTGTATGCGCTTCTCTTCGTAATCATTAATATTTATTCAGTTTATTTTATTTATTTCGGTGTTGGGCATTTCAACCTTGTTTAGGGATAATTATATTATATAAATAAGTTTGTGTTTAGGTCGGTTCGGAAATCAAAAGTTCCATTGTATCTCAAATATCTTTTGTTACTGGGACACAGGATGGTGTCTACAAACTGTCAGAACAGCTACACGTCTTTAGATTCTACTAGCAAACCTTTGCTGGTCAGTTAAGTCTTTGGCCAAAGATTTTTGCACCGTTTCTTTCAAACCATCGTTTTAGCTTCTTATATGGGAACTTGGCTACAGAGACATTTTCGGTTTTGCAAATTTTTTTCACACGCAGCTGAATTATAAAAACTAAATTCGGTGTCTTTTGTTCTATCAGTTCTACCACCTCCCAACACCTGACCTATTTTTACGCATAAGAATACTATACTATTGACCTTTCTTAGAAACTACTTAACTTAACAGTTTAGTATAAATACAACCCCTTTGTAAGCTTAACTTCGCTTAGTAAATCTTAGAAAATCTTCGAACTTAGAAGAACTAAGAAGCTCAGGAATAAATCGTTGTTCAACTCAACTTCCTGTGTACCTCCACGTTCCTCAAAATCTGTACCCCTCTACACTGACAACCAGGTTGCTCTTGTAAAAGCAACTAAGAACAACCAAGCCAACCCGGCAACTGATGAAGTTCGCGTGGAGAACCGAAACCATGGTCTTGCCTGATCAGACAGTGGCTTAACAGAACAATCGCAGGACTCAGTGTTATTAACTAATTCAAAAGTTATTACCAAGTAATCATTGCTTAAAGAGCAATCTTGACTGAGTCACAATACTATTCTCCATTTTTGATTTAAGGTGCAATCCATTCTTTGAAATTTGGATCTGTAATTCACTATCCGAGAGAATTTAACATTACGCAAAAAAAAAACACTAACGAGCTGGCCAGGACCCAGCGTGACAAAACATTGAAGAAAACCATCGCGGACAAAAGATAATCGCTTTTAGCTGTTCAGATCCGGGAGGCACTTTGGAGAAAATTAAACATCCTGAAACCCTTATTTAGCCGCAAGAAGAGCCTTACGTTTCAAAAGAGGTCAAGGAAAATGCTGTTACATTAGAGGGCAAATCTTGCCGACCAGCCGATAAACAATAACTGCAGAAAATTAAAATGCGTGTCACAACCTTTCGTTATGAAACAAACCTTTGATCGACACATGTCGATAATGTTCGAGTAGGCGAGCCAATCAGGCTTGCTGACGAGCGAGGTTTTCAAAATCCTGGGGTTTGTCTGCAAGCGTTTCCTTTCTTCCCCTCTACCTCCCCCATCTTTTTTGTTGTTGTTGTTTTTTTTTGGCTCTCGTTCCATTTCTCGCGCGTCCAAAACCTAAATCCCGTTCCTGCCGCCGGGAAAGGGGGGGGGAGATACGAAGGCCCCGGCCTCTTTATAACTTTAGAACCGCTCATGATACGGCCACCAAAATTACACGGAATAGTGTACTCAGCATAATCAACATCAAGGCATAGTTAATGTGCATGATGTCAAAATTACGTCATATTAAATTTGTTAGCAGAACCGAAATTTCATCTAGTTATTTAAAAAACCCTCAACAATCCCTCCGGTCTGAGTTGCAGTTAGGGAATAATTAATTTGTCTTGCTTTGTCATTCTAATGGGAAAATAGCGCTGGAATGTTCCCCGTTACGGGAACAACAATATCATATTTGAAACAAATTTCACACGACTTACTTTAGCTCCAAATTATAGGAGGACCCCTGCCTGTTAACAACAATTTCCTGATTTTTCTTTTCTCTTCAACGTCCTGGTTTGTTTTAAGATTATATTGATATTAAATTAAGCTTTTCGGTAGATTTTGGATATCTCTTCGTTATAAGGTACGAGAAGTTGGTTTCAGTGCTTAAATTGAACCCAATTAGCGTAATATTTTACATTTAGTGAATGAGGCCGATTATCTTATAAAGAATTATGGAGATCGACATCTCCATAATTCTTCATATCATTACAAAAGCCGAATTTAATAATTGTTTTTTTATTCATTCAAAATAATTCCTAGTTTAAAAACATAGCTAAAACATGCTTTCCTCCATCGATGTTAAGTTCATCTTCGATAGTACACATTTAGTGTTATTATTTCCGCAAATATTCTGCAAATAGCAGATGTCGCCCTTGTAGTTGACTTCTTGCCGTTCTTGCCATGTTTTTAGCTATTATTTCGCCTAGTTCTTACTTAACGAGTGAAATGCCCGCATTTTTGTTTTAACAACCAAAACAACTCAACCTCGTCCCCAGGTCTTCTCGGTTGACGGTACATTAACCTGCAAGGAAGCTGCACTTTTGACGTCATCGGTTGATTAATCGCAAAATCCTTCCAAATTTGGTCATCAGTAGCTGGTTATGGTGAATTATGCGTGTGCTTTGAGCTAAAAATAAATCAGAATCCGGGAAATATTTTGAATGAATAATAATTTAAAATAAGCTATACGTAACCTTTCAGATCTGGATAAACACCAACTGTGTTTAAGCGGAGAGGTAAGTGAAAGAGCTGAGACACTGTGTAAAATACTGAGACGAACACCTTGGTTGTGCTGTCGATGTTATTATGGCGAACAAACTTCTTCCAGTGGATGTACTTTTTACACTAATGGGCCTGTGTCTACATGTACTGGCGAAAAATGGTAAGATAAGTTAAACATGGTCAAACAATAAATTTCCTATAAAGTCGTTTTCGAAGCTCATAGCGCAGCAATCGTAGGTCGCCTAAGCCGCCCTCGCGATGAATATGCGCCAACCCTATTTTCGGTAGTTTGACGATAATTTTTGAGTTTCTAAGATGGATGTAATAGGTGCAAGAAAACTTGCCGTGAACACAAAATTGGCATTGGACACAAAATACTGCATTTCAAGACATAGAAGAGCTGTGACAAAACAACAGAGTCATATGCTTCTACCTTTATTTCAAGGTTGGAAGCAAATAACTTGTATTGACTAGTGCCCTTAAAGTCATAGTACACTGAATTGCTTTGTTAATAGTCTCTTTTGACTGTTGAAATACCCTAAGTATTTTGTTGCTTTTGAGATAAATATTAGCGATAAAAAATCACGACGTTTCGACCTCTCCGAGGTCATTTTCAAGTGTATAAAAGTTCTCTAAATTAGCATAAATAAGTTAAAAACAAGTTATAATAGATAAAAATGTGGTGAACGCTAAAATGTGATAAAATATGTAAAAATGTAAAAAGTGCTAAAAATATTCGAAACGAGGTCGAAACGTCGTGATTTTTTATCGCTAATATTTATCTCAAAATCGATTTCTAAGAAACTACTTATTAATATTTTGTTGCTGTGAACCAAAATAATCAAACATTTCTAATTAACTCCAATCTAATACCTTCATTGCACTAAACTGAATTTTGTTCAAACACAGCCCCCAAATCACGGACTTCGACGCCGTCGGGTAAGTTATGAATGATTTCGCAGTTATTTCGCCTGTACTTGAACATTTAACTAGTGCGTACATTTCAGTCGCTATTTACCGGTAACAACTCAAATTTTTTAGTCTTTTTAAAATTAACAGTTTGTCAGAACCGCTTAAAAAAGACCTTACAGTGTACATATTGTACCCTTAACCCTGCGTGCGTCTAGCACACTGATAGGGGAACTCAGTCAAGTTTTATAGTTTCACAAATTAGTGGTTAATATTGTGGTCGATCAAGATAACATAAGGACTTACTTATAAGTTTATTCATTCCCAAGTTCAAAACTATGAACCATGTCGATATTTGATATAGCCCTACCAATCTAGACTATATGCACTCTAGCAAAAGATAAACAAAAGTTATCATAATCTTTCATTATTTAAATATTGAGAGCTTCATAATTCTAGTGTAGGCCGACTTATCAGCACCTACAGGCGAAGCTAGCAAAATGCAGTTTTCACTCCTTCCGGTTTTGTTATTGGTTTTTGCATTATTTTTAAGCAACGACGCCTATATTCGGCGGTAATGGGTGTATTAAGATCGAATTAGCTTTTTGGCTCTACTACATTGTGGACAAGGCGTAAAATTTCCTCTGCTTTAGTTAGGGTCTGTCGGATTATGCTCGTAAAATAGAGTGTTTTGCCTTGGGGCGTCACCTGTGAAACCGGGGTACTATGCTCGAAATTATACTCGGCTGTGCTCAAATTTTGCCGGAATAAAATGACACTTCCACCCCACTCCCCATAGGCCCGTAACTACTTTTTTTTCAGCAGAATCTTAATCATCAGATTCTGCCATGATTATATACAAGCTTGGACGCCTGGCATGAAGAGGTAACCAGGCCTTCCATTATACCAAAATGCACTGGGTACGAGTTTAAGGTATCAAGTTCCTAAAATATCCGCCCCTTTATCAACTTTGTGCATTCTCGCTGGAGTTGCTGGCAAAATTTGCATACACTTTTCACAGTTTTCAGTAACAACAGCATTATGCTACAAAAATATTAGTATTATGCCAGCATTATGCCTGACGCTGCAGATATAGTATTATCCTCAAAATTATGCCGGTATAATCCGACAGACCCTAGTTTTGGCTCTTAAGAGCGACGGTCAGGAAATATCGACCATCGAGTGGCAAGAGATGAAAAATCGATTTCGTTCATTTTTTGTCCATAAATAGCTTTTAGGTAGATAAGTAATCTGATGTAAGTTGTTCTCGCAAAAGGCCTTTTATCTTCGAGAAAAGTAAGAATATCAATTTTCGTGGTTGGAGTCTCAAAATGGACGTATTTTCAACCCAGAATTTGCTACAACAACTCTCCTCTCGTTATAAAAATAAAGCCGCAAGGAGAAATTTGGACACTTTCCATCAATAGAACAACTCTTCTTATTTCACTAGAAGATACTTTCAAAGCAATATCAAGTCTCGTTGAACTGACATAATTCAAAAACGAAGAACAGATTTTTACTGTGACAAAAACTTTAATTTAGTAGTTGTTTTCTGCGACATTATTCTTCATGTAGTATAGCTCCAATTTTCCCAGTCCTCCTTTATTCACACATTTAGACATTCATCTAAAGCATACCTGAGAATTGTCTTGGGTTCCTGAAGGCAGCCTCCAAACGAAAGCATCGAAGTCCGGTAAAAATAGTGAAGCGTGACCAAAATAACTTATTTAACGGCTTCAAGTTTCCTCCATCCTCGGAGACCCAGGGCCGAGGATGAGTTTCCTCCATCGTAAATATACAAGACGCAATATCTTCCTGTTCCGTCATCCTCATTGAATTACCATGATTGTTAAAGTCCTTATTTTTCGATAAAAATTTAGTACCAGAATACTAGGGGGGTTTGATTTTTCCTTCTTCAAAATACTGTCGGCATCGAAAATGTTATTCTTTCAACGAATTGCTTGCGTCACTCCCGTGATTCCGTGACTGCAAAAGAGAATGATAAGAGAGAGAATCCCCCATACATGGCCCTCTTCCCATGAAATTTACTTTCAATCTATTCTTGGCTCTATGTCATTCCGCGTGGTTATTTTAAGGACGCCACCTTATTGGTCGGTTAGAGTGGCGTCATGTAATTTTAAACTTGGCGGGTAATTCATTTCACTGCGGATCACGCACAGCAAGGGATATGACTTGCAAACTTGATATTACTTTCGTCGACGAGTCAAAAGATTTATACGTGGAATAATTAATCTGGCGAGAGTAGCTGACGAAGATCAAAACGGTCCTGGCTTGTGGGAGGTCACCGAAGAAAGCGGTTCCGATTCGGCGAAAACTGCTTATTGAGGTCTTCGCTACATCAATATATAAACAACTAACATCCTACTGCAAAAAACGACAACTGTCTCTTCCGGCGACATCCACGCACACCCGCGAGCTGTGATACTGTCGTTTGGATCCGACCGTGGACACTTAACGAGAAAATAGGTTCAAAGTGGGTTCAAACATGAATGTTTAGTCGCCAAACATTTGAATTTTGTGAGGACGCTAGACAAATGTGGGCACACCGCTCACTATAAAGAATTGACCGAAACTGGAAACCGCGCATCAAAACTCTCTGGCATCCAGGTTAGCGACTGTTTATTTTAAAAACAGCTTGAAGCATCTGACCTGATTTGTGTTTGTACAGCGAAATATTCACAAGTATTAGACGTTAAGAAGAAGTAATGCAGTTTGAAACTCTCAAGAATAATTCTTAAAAGCAAAGGTACTGTTTCTGAACGAAAAATATTCCTGGAAAAAGAGAAAATATATCTGGCACATTTGCATAAACAGTTGAAGCCAGCCACTTATTTAAGGTTTCGTGTTTTGCGCGTGATAACTTTTGCCTCTGGTTTTCACAGTGTGTCAGAATTTAATATTCGTTACTTTAAATGAGGCTACCAGCCGTGAGAAAATCTCAATCTTTAATCTCAAAGTGAAATTTTGACTCCAATACAGCAATTCCTTTGTAAATGAAATCCATTCCTGAATTATGACCGGAAAGCGCTGATCAAAAACATGTCAACAACAGGAGCCGATCAGTATCGGCTCCTGGCGCTAATTACTATGATGGCTGTCAAACTTCAAATGTTTGGCGGCGAAGCATGCCACGTTCACGTGAAAGTAGACCGCGCGGGTCACGGAAACAACAGACAAAAATAACCTTCGCAGAACGCGCGCGAACTTTAAATAGATTTTAAAAAATTATCATGGAGCACAGGGATTCGCTCTCTCAGCTCATTCTCTCTTGGTGACGGTCATTTTTTTTTTCCTCAGTATCGGTTTTTTGAGCGATTTTGAAGGAGCTTGAGTTCGCCGTTGACTGGTCGATTTTTCCTGAATGACCGTCGCTCTTAAAATGCATTCTTCTTTAAACCCTAGAAATATGATTAAATAACCGTCACAATTTTTTTCCATTCGCAACTTTATTTAATACTTCTAATAACCTAACATAACATTACAATAAACTACAATATTATTCATTCGAAATATTTCTCAGTTTCTGATTGCCTCAAATCTCACCTTTAAACCCTAATTACTAGCTAGCATTGACCAAACTTGGAAGACGTTCGCGATATCCTGAAAATGAGGTCAATATGATAATACTGAACACTGATACTAACATGACAATACTAACCACCCCCACCCCTTTGCTTCCACTGCCCCTGCCCCCGCCCTTTTATCCCCTTTTCCCTTCGGCTGATCAGATGCATTCATTTGTAATTTGCTATAAGTAATATAATTATAATTTTATAGTCATGTTTTTCTTTTTTATCAAGGCCAGGAGATTGATTACGATTGCTCCATTTACACATTTCATAATATGAAGTCCAAGATTACCTGGGAAAATAGCAAGAATCTGTGTGAGCAAAGTGGTAGTAAGCTTGTTTCCATGGAACGTTTAAGGGCTGAGTTGAGCTTCCTGACAAATCATTCAGAAACCCTGAAAATGAAGACTAATGAATATTACATTGGATTAAAAAAGTACGACCAGAAGTGGCTATGGATTAGTGATAACAGCTCATTAGAGGAAAATCAAACGGGGAAATTTCCTTGGAATAGGGAACAGCCATCAGGTGATGGAAATTGCGTTAAAATGTGGCGCGAAGAAAGTACGAGCCCGTGGACTTATGTATATGACGACATTAAATGCACGAGCATGCCGACGAGAAAAACTGGATATATCTGTGAGAAGCCGTCGACATCTGTGGAATGTGGTAGTAATGGTGAGTCACTTTTATCATGTTTTCTATAATCTCTCCTAGACTGATGGTTCTAGTGCGTTCCACCGAATAGAAACTTAATTATGCACTAATAATAAGATTAAAACAGATGAAAGTCGTTCATATGCATGCACTCATAGTAAATCTGTAGGCTTGACACAAACAGAGATTCAGTCGTTTGGAGTTCTCGATCAAGATGAACCATTTCTCGAATCTGTTATATGGCCTGAAACCGTCAACGTCAAACGGGTCACATGTATAGAATGGATGCGGCGGGGAAGACCCAGGGGCAGTCAGTCGGGCCGGGAGAAAAGGCGCGACGAAAGTTATCAAGCACAGGCGGAAGAGCCCCTGGGTACCGACTCTCACCGAACCATTTCTAAACGGTCAAGCGAATGCTGGCTCCTGATTGGGCACAAAAATGCTTTGTATTATTGTGCCCAATCGGCGAACAGTTTCTCCAGAGTTATTTTCGTGAGTTCGTACATGACGGCTATTATCTCGCCACAGTTGCCCACTTCTTTCACCAAGCTTTCCTGACCAGAAACGAAAGAACTACGGGTCAGTCGAAAACGTTTCGGATGCTACCAGTAGGAGCAATTCAATTTGCACTGAGAAAATACTGTTTCTGACGGATCACGACGTATCGTAAATAATAGGAAGTTTTAAGATGCAGTGGCGACGAGAAAGTCAGAAAAGCAATCAGTTTGACAAGGCAAAACAACAACTTTACACGTGCATCACGCTTTTTTGTACATTTCTTTGCCGTCACTACACGACTACCACTTGAACATGCCTAATTTCACGTTTTGTGAAGGATGTAAACAGGCAATGACGAAATTTTCTTTCTCTTTACGAACTTAGATATGGTTGATAGACTGAAAAAATGTGAATTCACTTTTCATGCGACGTTTTCGTGGCTGTCAGCTGTCGTGGCATCTTAAACTCCCTAATATTTACGAAGGCGTGATCGATGCAAGCATGAATACCTGTTGTAAGCTCAAGCTTGTATCTTTGGATGGGCGTCTTTAGTTTTCAGGTAGACAGTATTTTGAAATGGAGACTAAAGTTTATATCAAACGGAAGTTTTCCTGACTGCGTGCATCTGTTTGGTGCATGAGCCAGACAAGCCGTGATCGAGTCAATAGCCGTCATGTACGAACTCACGAAAAGAACTCAGGAGAAACTGTTCGCCGATTGGGCACAATAATACAAAGCATTTTTTGTGCCCAATCAGCAGCCAGCATTCGCTTGACCGTTTGGAAATGGTCCGGTGAGAGTCGGTACCCAGGGGCTTTTCCGCCTGTGCTTGATAACTTATGTCGCGCAATTTCTCCCGGCCCGACTGACAGCCCCTGGGTCTCCGAGGATGGCAAGTTTCAAGTTAATAGATTGAAATCAGCAAAGATGATCGTTACTTCCCCGTAAAAATTGAAAACTTTTCAATGACACAGACACCACACCGATAAAAACCAAAACAGAGCGGCCGGAATAGTAGTTGTTGGTATTTTTTTTGCTTATCGGGCATTCTAAAGATCCTGCGTCCTGCCGCATAATCGTTCATCGTACTCCTTTTTCAGTTAATAGGGACCTTAAGCAACGACGACGACGACGGCAGTGAATACGTTGCTAAAAAAATGAATTTGCGTTCTTTCAAACTTAATCGTCTCTATTTGGACCTGCTCAATATGTCAAATGCAGGCGACTTTTCCTGGAGTTGAATTCTTAAAGATGTTATTCAAGTTCAAAAAGGGAAGGAAAATTCGTCATCGTATGTCCACGTCCTCCATAAAACGTCAAATTAGGAGGTTTCCCGTCATAGTCGTGCAGTGGACGTCAAAGAAATGTACTAAAAAGCGTGATGGAAGTGCAGAGCTGTTGTTTTGATCATTAAACCTATTGTTTTTTGAAGTTGTCGTCGTCGTAGTAGTAGTATTGAAATATTTCAACCCCGTTTAATAAAACGCGATTTGTGACGTCGTATGGAGCGTAAAATCAGGTGACGGCATATAATGCAACACCTTCAACGCGTACGATAAAATACGTTAAATTTTACTTTTACACTAAACAAGCCTTGTTTAAAACTACCAAATCTTGATACACCTGAGATACTCATGAATACTTTATAAATGGTTGTGTACAGTCTGGTCTTTAACCTGCTGGATACACTAATTCATTGTGTTTACCTTTGAGATAAAGAGTTAAAGCTTTCCTTTATTGCTACACTGCAGTGCCCAGTCTGTTCTGCATTGATTATGAATATACTGATGCAGTTAATTTATTGACATCATGTCGAATCCATGTATTTGCTCGATTTGCCCTACAGAGCGTATTTTCATTTTAGAGACAACAAGTGAGTTACCAAAGCTGCCGAAAAGCACAGCACCTTCCCCAATCGGTGAATCATCTCTTACGACAGCCACGGTGCAACGGTCTATATCCTCTTCACAGAGTCAATCTACAACCAAGGGTTTTAAGCCACATACAATTAAGGGTTCTACGACAATGGTAACGAAAAGTAAGCCGATAACACCATAAAGTTTAAGTAGTACTAGTAATTCCTGCTTATGGATCACATGTTTGTTTTTACGCCTCCTTTACTCGCTACCGTTTTAACGTGTCCAAGCTCACTAAGTAGTCGTTCGCGGGACAAAGTCAGTCCCCAAATAATAATATTGCAATAATAATCCTTTTTTGGTGAACTTACTCTGTGATTTGTTCTTAAGATCTGCAGACCAGTGGCAATATACAAACTGAACCATTTCGTGTTATTCCTAACGATTGCTAAGAGGGGATAATTTCTTGCATAGCTAAGTGTTTTGACATACGGCAACATAGCTAGTCATTGCACGTCAATGGCTTTTTTTTCTCATACTGTGGCATTAGAAACCAACAGGCAATTTCAAATCCCCAGCGGTTCAGCTGATCAGTGTTAGAGAGTCAAGAACACTTCCTGTACCGACCTCGTTCAGAAAATCGATCCATCATGCCTATCAACTATACAAATCTAACAGGGTAGTTTTTTTGTTTTGTACTTAGCCTAAACGGGGCAAAGTGGTTGGCCTTGTTTTGTGTGTGTGTGTGTTTTTTTTCCCACAAATCTAGCCAAGATTTCATTTTAAAAAAATGGCTCAATAGGGTCAGAGTCTGGATCAATAAGTGTTGAGAATTTTTGAATGATTGTTTTTAACGTTTTCGATGAAAAAAAAAATCAGGGGAGGTGCCTGGAGTGATTACTTTTATGGAAAAAATGGCAAAAAGTTGGATTTAGGGGTTATCGAAAATTAAAAGCAAGGGAAATAATTTGTAAACAATAACCAGATTTATAAGTCCAATGACAGTACAAGGTACTAGAAAAACCATGTTCTTCTTATTTAATTTCTTTAATTCTCAATTCGACCTTACCCACCCGCCCCCAACAAAAATAAAACAAAACAAAAACAGACAAACAAACTAAACCAACCAGATTGCCCCTTAAGGTTTATTACCTGACTATAATTAGGGTGTTTCCACTTGAAAGTTCATCAGTCATTTATTTGTATCCTTAAGGACAATTCGCAACGACGATTTTTAGCGTAACACATCGTTGCATTGTTGGAACGATGTTGTAACTATTCGAAACGATGTCGCAACAATGTTGTAATGCTGTGTTGTGCTAAAAACCGTCGTTGCGAATCGTCTCGTGTAACATCACCTTTAGGGATATCATTTGTTTTTATGAACTTGTACTCGTCATGGAAACCTACGTGTTACTGACGACAATTTTCAATGCGGTTTAACTTTGGACAACGCCCCAGTGGATGTATTATGGTTTCTCAAAGTTTTAAAAGTAAGTCTCAAATTTTACTTCATTTGTCTTTCCCTTGGCAGCGGTAGTTCCAGAGGGCATCATCCGTGAATCTCCCGATTTCACTGCAATCATCTTAATCCTGGTAGCTGTTATCATACTGGTTGTTTTGATAGTATCTTTCCTCAATTATGCTCGCCGACGTCGCAACAACAAGACAAAAGGTATCTTTTGTAATCTTCTGTACTGCTTAATACTGGTTTCCCAAACTGTGATTTAATCGCCGAACCAAATGATGTTTTTGAAAATATGGGAAAGAAATAATAAAACAAACATGAATGGGTTTAGTTTCCTAAAGAAACTCTAGTGCTGTGTCGGTGGGGGATTTAAATACAGAAGCTGTTGAAGCTATTAATACATAGGCGTACGGGCAATTTTTTGCCAGGTTGTCGGGGGACGGTAAACTATATGCCAAAAAAATTATCCTGAGTTGCCCAGACGTTTACAAAACAGTCGAAAATGCACTAACAGAGGCCTACATATGAAGTGAAAATATGCTTACATATGAATCTATCATATGAGCTCATAAAACACGTTAAAAGAAATTGCCATGTTTGCCATTTTGACAGCCGAAGTTATAAATGATACCATCATGTTACTGACGATGTTACGGGCTCGTTGTTGCCCCATGGTGCTGTGGAAGTACGTTTTCAATCTGCGCAACGCACTGAATGATCGTTCTGCATAACAACATCTAGCAGGTATCACTCCAAAGAGATGTACCACATTAGAAAACACTGGAGACATATCAAATAGATCATTCTCGTGCATTGTCTCCAGCATGCATCTCAGTAACAGTCATGTAGCCTAATCCGCGCTCAAGACGAAAACTCGTGTACATTTTCTGCTAGGCTTCGAGAATCCTGCCGTCCATTCTGTAAAATTTATCAACGCGGGAGAAACTTTCTTTATCAGTTGTTTCACTGTGACAGATATTTTCCAAGGCATTTCCTGATCATTTCCGCTAAACCTGAGCTCAAGCTCGGACAGCACCTTGTCGATGGACGCACGGTAAATGTTAATACAGTGGTTAGCCTGCGCCGCAGATGAAACTAAACTCTGGTTAAGTCCGTCTGCGAAACAGCGCTGAAATCCTTGTTCTGGGCCTCCACGTGTGTACCAGGATCTGATTACGCGCCATGATTGACTTTTCAAAAAAGCCATTGTCTATTTGCCAATCAGGATGAAAGGAAATTTGAAACCGGCAAACTTCCGGTAATTCGTTAAGTCAGTTGGGGGGGCCAGAACAAGGGGATTGGCCCTACTTCGCAGACGTTACAAACCCGAGGTTAAATTACGTCTGTGATGCAGGATATACGGTGGTGCGATTCCGGTGTCAGCTACGTTTGTCTTTGTGCGTGTTCACCAAAGCTACAAGGGCTTGAAGGCGGCGCGTTGTCGTTTGTCTGAGTGCCCTGGCTTAATTCAAACTGAGAATTGGTCAGCCACTTCTTCATTTTCAGACCCATTTATTTTATTTTATTTTATTTTATTACATAAACACCAATGATTTACCAGGGGAGCTTTTGCGCGAAACTTGGTATCTTCACATGTGAAGATCACATGTTATCTTCACATGTAAAAATATCACCGTTGCTATGGCTCCACAATAAATCGCGCCTTTCACACCAAAAAACTATTAAAGCGAAATGGTTTGGTAGTTCATTGGTGTTTATATAATAAATAGAACATTACATGGCCGCTTGGAGATACGAAGTTTCTCTTCTCGTGTTGAAAAAATATTTCACTCGTTCGCTGCGCTCACTCGTGAAATATTTTTCAACACTCGAAGAGAAATTTCGTATCTCCAAGCGGCCATGTAATATCCTCTATTTATTTTATTAGCTTCGCCCAGAGAGAAAAAGAAAAAAATAAAGGATAATAAATATACACTGAAACAATGAATGGTATATGCCTTTTTTTCCTTCACTCCGACACTTAAGTGTAGAGTCTGAGTGGTCATGTCGGCATTTCTACGAGCGGAGATGATCCTAGAAAAGTTATACGAAAGTTGATTCTGATCAATTGACGACTGAAAATACCCCACACCAACTGGTGCAGTGCAGTATAGTGCCCAAAAATAAAAAACTGTATAATACATATAACATACGATACCCTTCACTGATAACCAGAAACTCATCACTTGCTAGGCAACCACTGTCTTGTGTGAAGCTAACTGGATTTACCACGCCGACTTCATGTTAAAATAGAAAATATCTATCTCTTCGAAATAAAAAAAAACATGGAAACTTCTTTAAAAACTGGCTTTGCCCAAATTTCTCTTGTTGCCCAAAAAATCTGAGTTGCTCAAAATTTGGGGGGAGCGCTGCAGCCCCTGCCCCCCGGCCCTTACGCCTATGTGTAAATAAATTCGCAACAGATGTGCTCTTTCGACGTATAAAACAGATTTGGGATTCCTTTGCGATGGCCAATTCACTTTCAGAATTTTAGTTGTTTTTTTTTCCACATTGAAATAATCCCTTTTTAGCATTTCTTCTTTAATTTTTATGCACATCAGGAGTATTATTTTACACAAAGGCTATCTTCACACTATGCCGGATTTTCCGGTGCCTGCGGTGTACCTATCTGCTGTATAACTCTGCACTTTAGAGATCGGCGCAGCTTCGCCTCGTTACAAAAATCGCGCCGAGATCACTGTTCTTATGTGCGAAACGAAGCCCTATCCAGTAAATGGTTTTCGTGCAGGCGCGAAAGATATCCGGTATAATGTGAACATAGTCCAATCATATTCATTACGCACTTTAAGTTTTTCATACATTGTGTTTATTTGTTAAAGTTTTGTCTTCAAGAAAACAATCCAGTGACCAAACACATTGCCTGCATAGCTCCACCAAACTTAAAGTTCATTTCAGCATGTCACAAGCGCAGGAAGAGGTTATTACAATTAACACTCTCCGAGAAGACAACGAAGAGCACGCCTATGCAGTTATAGATGAGAGTAAGCGAAAATCCAAGTCTGACCAAGACGGTCCATCCAGCTCCGAAGTAGGAGAAGTTCGACCGCCCTCAAAAGATGAGCACGTTGCGGCAGACCAAGATGTATTGAAGGAGAATACGGAGAGGTGTGATAAAGGCAACGATCGAGAGGAAAAGGGGCATCACGTTTACGCCAACGTGCTTGTTAAAGAAAGTAAGGCGATGTTTGGTAAAGCATCAGTTTCTTGGGATGAGGGCCTGGGCGTTACCTGCGCAGAAGAGAGTTCGACTCTGGGTGAGAATCCTGTGGAGGATTTGAATCCTTTATCTTTGGAACAAGGAAAGGAAATGAACAGCAACGAGGCTACGAGTGAACAGGATCCAAATAGCAAAACTGAGTGCAACGATCACTTTTATGCAGTTGTTGACAAATCAAAAAAGAAGCGAATGGCTCCTGAGGTAGGTACTTTTAACTACTATAACTAGTTCCTATTGATCGCTTAGTTCATATCTGCGAATGATCATATGTTCAACATTACCTTGTTTAAGGATGCTAGGGGAATTTTTACACCCTTAATTATGTTTAAAGATAGTTTCATAGAATCGGTTATGAAGACGATCAGACATTTATTCATTCATTCACATTTTGTAAGGATTTTGCACCGTGAGAGAGCTTCCAAAATAAACTGTGGGATCTTAGAATTTTCTAACGCTGTGGCTATATACAAGGCAGTCGCGAAGGGTCTTAAAAAAAACTAAATGCCCGGCAGCAAGAACATTTTCTAGAATTTCTGCAAAAACTCTTTTTCCAATCGTTTGAAAGTATTCTATCTTCATTGAGAATTACCAAACGATCAGGAAAACAGGAATGGCTTCGCAGCTGAGCGGTTGTGGTTTCTTGGGCATAGAGCAGAGTCGACGCCGTTTCGACACTTAGAAAACTGATTTCGTGAGAAGCAGTGCTTGACTCACAGGCACGTTTTCATCCAAACTAAATACCCGGCAGACTTAATTATATGTTAAACGGTTTATTGAACCCTTTGTACCCGCTTGCCTACTCTGAGGGTCGATGAAATAATTTAAATGGTGGCTATAAAGAGAAACTTTATGTTGAAACGGACTGCCGGGCATTTAGACTGAGGAGAAAACCGTGCTTGTGAGTCGACCACAACATAGGCTATGAATTGAAAACTAAGTGATACCTAACCTCTGGTTAAGAAACTCTGTCCGCGTTTCTCGTCATTCACTAATACTAAACCATGATAGAATATTTTGAGGAGAATTGGCATTAATTTTGCAAAATTAGAGGAACGCTTTCCCAAGATTCAGCAGCGCCACCAGTCTATCAAGCTATGTCGAGAGTCTAGCTCAAGGTGGCTCGAAGTTGCGAAATAATGTTTCAAAATCAAAGCACTCTCTCTCCGATTGTTTTGGAAAATAATCGAGGCTAGTATTCATGTATTCTGGAGCTTAAGAAAAGTCTTTTTAACTTTCCAGCTCCGTTTTCAGACTGCCTGGTATTAAGCCTGTGTGAAATCGTGCCCGTGCCTCACGTTCACGAAATTTCTCTAAGTGTCGAAACAGTGTCGACTCTTCTCTATGCTCAAGCAACCACATTTCTCAGCTCCGAAGCCTGTTTTGTTTTCCTGATCGCTTGGTTATTCCAAATGAGGATAGAATACTTTCAAACGATTAGAAAAAGGGATTTTGACTGCCGGGCATTTAGTTTTTTGAGACCCTTCCCGGCTGCCAGCAATATAGCCACAGCGCTTCTTTCTTTCTTTTTGTTTTTAGATTGATTTATTGTTATAACTATTATCATTTATTTTTATACAGAAACCTCTCCCTTACTGCAGTGGCCACCTCGTGTATGCAAACGTGAGCCACTTATCAGACAACAAAAACGGGAAGGTTCACTGAGCAAGCGCTCCAACTGTTTACGCTGACATCAATCATTCTGTTCAGAGAAGAGTGAAGACTGAATTGATGTCAAGATTACCAACAGTGTGAAACATAAAGTACACTAACAATGAGTTCTATATATATAAACATAATGATGGTGCTGTTTAGTAAGGCCATGAATATGTTTTTAAAAAACTAATGATTAGAATGCTAACTACAATTAATTAAGAACTACAAATGTTAAAAGAGTAAAGATTATATATATATATAAAAAAAAAATAGAGTACCACAAGCCAAGAGTAAAACAATATGTTTTTCGTCTCTCACCTGTATTTCGACCGTGTTAAACGGCCTCCATCAGGGTGAATGGCCGTTACAAGCATCACACACCATTATTACATGATAACGAACAAATGTGAAAACTTGCACGCGCTACAAAGCCGGGAAGATAAATCGAGATGCTATAATGATTAAAAGTTGCACGCGCTACAAAGGAAGATAAATCGAGATGCTATGATAATTAAAAAGTTGGAGTGACCCCTTGTTCTTACACGAGGTAGGTGAAAATCGTCTCTTAACACTTGTAATATTGTGAATTGAGTGTTTCTAACTCTTTGAAGGTCGTTTTACAGCGATCTTTTTCCACTCACAGCTAAGCATGATTCATAGTTTAGAGGAAAGTTTAAATGCATGTTGCATATTTGATGTTAAGTGATTTTCTTAGTTCATGTATCATGCAAGCTTATGCACGGCCTAACTCATTTGAGTCTTTGCTGAAAGTCGCTGTGAACAATATACGATAATATAATGATAATAATTTTATAACATGTAAATGAAAACTGAATTGATATTAAAATATATGAAGCCATAACAATTTTATTGAGTAGTGTTGTTGTGCTCAAACTCTTTGAACTCTGACTGCCCTGAGCTCAAGCTCGGACAGCACCTTGTCGATGGACGCATAGTAAACGTTAATACGGTGTGTTATGTCGTAATTTGTAATAATTATGTCGTATTGTGTAATAATTATGTCGTAATTTCTAATAATTATGTCGTAATGTGTAATACCTGTCTTAATTTGTAATAACTTTGTGGTAATTGGTAATTAAAAAAAACTGTCGTAATTTGACCGAACACTTTTGATCAGTTTCTAGAAAACCTTGATTTTCCCATACATTTTCTGTGATTCGACAATATCAAAATTACAGAAAATGTATGGAAAAATAAAGGTTTTTTAAAAACTGATCACAGACTTCTTTGCAGTCCAGAATTAGTGTATTTTTTCTTTGAACTCGTAAGTTATTTTTTTCCAAGAGAAAGCATCAAATATATGAATTCAGGAAGAATTAGCTGGCTTTGAATTCTAATACAAATCTTCTAATTTCCTGCCATCTTGCCATGATTATCCATGATCCAACTATGAGCGTGAACCCCTCTGTTCTACTCTACTCTACTCTTTCAAGTTTCTGATTCTCCTGCATGTATGTCCTTATAGCTTTACGCTTGTCAACTTGTGAGTAAACATTATACTCCTTTGATAAATATTACTGACAAAGGCGATCGAGGGAGAGCTTTTTTTACCACCTATCCGACTAAGTTATTGTGGTAAACTGGATCTAACTTCACTGTAGCCTTCCACGCAGGCGTTTTTAGGGGAATACGAGCTCCCCTTAAATAGCGTGGGAGGCTATCTTCACTGCTGCTGGATATGTCGTCACAATGACGTATTTCGGGACGAAAAACGTATCATAGCACCACATGCACTACGTAAAAAAACTACAATTTATTTTGATTTTATGTAATTTTGTCCTGGTTCCTGTGCCAATACATTCATTTTCTCGCGTTACAAATACCCCTAATTTTGACCATATATGGTTATTTGGTGGTAAATGTGATTTTCTTCAATTAGCTGTAACTTCATGCCATTTTATCCTATTGAGATGGGGTTTTGACAAATATTCTTCTTGTGTAGCAAAAAATTCTGTAACGTTTTGAACACTGCTTTTCAAATTTTTAACGCTGTTAGTGAAAATAGGCGTCACTTATGAAGTCATACTTTCAAGAAAACTGAAAAATACCTTTACAATGGTAAAAATTTAAAGAAAATTTTTCTCTGATCAAGATGTTCTAATGTCTTGCTTCATTTGGAATTTAAATTACTCTTCTGTGAGCCAAAAATTGAATTTAAGAAGTTGCGGGAGGAAAACCCCTAGCAACCGACCATTGTTAAATGTATTATTTAATCTGATTTAAGTCAATATACTTAAAACATAGAAACAAATTAAAAGTTGGGTAAAAATGACATATTTACATCATTAGTTAGTTAAACAACAGCAGTTATTTTCTGAGGAATTTTGATTACCCTTTTCTCCTAGACTGATGTTATCTTGAACCGATGCCCGTGATAAGAACACAAAAAGAACTGATGGTTAATTCTTGTTTTTAATCAATCCAACAAGAACATTTACCCTGAAAAGGATGAAAATTAATTCCTTATTAAATGAGATGTTCTAACAGCTGACAAACCTCTCCCTTACTGCAGTGGCCACCTCGTGTATGCAAACGTGAGCCACTTATCAGACAACAAAAACGGGAAGGTTCACTGAGCAAGCGCTCCAACTGTTTACGCTGACATCAATCATTCTGTTCAGAGAAGAGTGAAGACTGAATTGATGTCAAGATTACCAACAGTGTGAAACATAAAGTACACTAACAATGAGTTCTATATATATAAACATAATGATGGTGCTGTTTAGTAAGGCCATGAATATGTTTTTAAAAAACTAATGATTAGAATGCTAACTACAATTAATTAAGAACTACAAATGTTAAAAGAGTAAAGATTATATATATATATAAAAAAAAAATAGAGTACCACAAGCCAAGAGTAAAACAATATGTTTTTCGTCTCTCACCTGTATTTCGACCGTGTTAAACGGCCTCCATCAGGGTGAATGGCCGTTACAAGCATCACACACCATTATTACATGATAACGAACAAATGTGAAAACTTGCACGCGCTACAAAGCCGGGAAGATAAATCGAGATGCTATAATGATTAAAAGTTGCACGCGCTACAAAGGAAGATAAATCGAGATGCTATGATAATTAAAAAGTTGGAGTGACCCCTTGTTCTTACACGAGGTAGGTGAAAATCGTCTCTTAACACTTGTAATATTGTGAATTGAGTGTTTCTAACTCTTTGAAGGTCGTTTTACAGCGATCTTTTTCCACTCACAGCTAAGCATGATTCATAGTTTAGAGGAAAGTTTAAATGCATGTTGCATATTTGATGTTAAGTGATTTTCTTAGTTCATGTATCATGCAAGCTTATGCACGGCCTAACTCATTTGAGTCTTTGCTGAAAGTCGCTGTGAACAATATACGATAATATAATGATAATAATTTTATAACATGTAAATGAAAACTGAATTGATATTAAAATATATGAAGCCATAACAATTTTATTGAGTAGTGTTGTTGTGCTCAAACTCTTTGAACTCTGACTGCCCTGAGCTCAAGCTCGGACAGCACCTTGTCGATGGACGCATAGTAAACGTTAATACGGTGTGTTATGTCGTAATTTGTAATAATTATGTCGTATTGTGTAATAATTATGTCGTAATTTCTAATAATTATGTCGTAATGTGTAATACCTGTCTTAATTTGTAATAACTTTGTGGTAATTGGTAATTAAAAAAAACTGTCGTAATTTGACCGAACACTTTTGATCAGTTTCTAGAAAACCTTGATTTTCCCATACATTTTCTGTGATTCGACAATATCAAAATTACAGAAAATGTATGGAAAAATAAAGGTTTTTTAAAAACTGATCACAGACTTCTTTGCAGTCCAGAATTAGTGTATTTTTTCTTTGAACTCGTAAGTTATTTTTTTCCAAGAGAAAGCATCAAATATATGAATTCAGGAAGAATTAGCTGGCTTTGAATTCTAATACAAATCTTCTAATTTCCTGCCATCTTGCCATGATTATCCATGATCCAACTATGAGCGTGAACCCCTCTGTTCTACTCTACTCTACTCTTTCAAGTTTCTGATTCTCCTGCATGTATGTCCTTATAGCTTTACGCTTGTCAACTTGTGAGTAAACATTATACTCCTTTGATAAATATTACTGACAAAGGCGATCGAGGGAGAGCTTTTTTTACCACCTATCCGACTAAGTTATTGTGGTAAACTGGATCTAACTTCACTGTAGCCTTCCACGCAGGCGTTTTTAGGGGAATACGAGCTCCCCTTAAATAGCGTGGGAGGCTATCTTCACTGCTGCTGGATATGTCGTCACAATGACGTATTTCGGGACGAAAAACGTATCATAGCACCACATGCACTACGTAAAAAAACTACAATTTATTTTGATTTTATGTAATTTTGTCCTGGTTCCTGTGCCAATACATTCATTTTCTCGCGTTACAAATACCCCTAATTTTGACCATATATGGTTATTTGGTGGTAAATGTGATTTTCTTCAATTAGCTGTAACTTCATGCCATTTTATCCTATTGAGATGGGGTTTTGACAAATATTCTTCTTGTGTAGCAAAAAATTCTGTAACGTTTTGAACACTGCTTTTCAAATTTTTAACGCTGTTAGTGAAAATAGGCGTCACTTATGAAGTCATACTTTCAAGAAAACTGAAAAATACCTTTACAATGGTAAAAATTTAAAGAAAATTTTTCTCTGATCAAGATGTTCTAATGTCTTGCTTCATTTGGAATTTAAATTACTCTTCTGTGAGCCAAAAATTGAATTTAAGAAGTTGCGGGAGGAAAACCCCTAGCAACCGACCATTGTTAAATGTATTATTTAATCTGATTTAAGTCAATATACTTAAAACATAGAAACAAATTAAAAGTTGGGTAAAAATGACATATTTACATCATTAGTTAGTTAAACAACAGCAGTTATTTTCTGAGGAATTTTGATTACCCTTTTCTCCTAGACTGATGTTATCTTGAACCGATGCCCGTGATAAGAACACAAAAAGAACTGATGGTTAATTCTTGTTTTTAATCAATCCAACAAGAACATTTACCCTGAAAAGGATGAAAATTAATTCCTTATTAAATGAGATGTTCTAACAGCTGACAAGGAACACATAATTAAGTGCCTAAACTACTGTGAGACTCTAGTCAGCTGTCTAGTGTTTAAAATCAATTTTCCCAGCAGTTTGAAATCAAATCACGTTTCAGCTTCCTCTAGCTACGACAAGGTAGGTGATCAGAAATGTTTCAATACTTTACGTTAAACTCTACTTGCAATAGAAACACACTACAGTTAAACCTCTCCTCTCCAAAATGGCCACCTGGGGGCCAGAAGAAATTGGCCGTTGTCTGAGAGAGGTTTAAACAGGACTCAATGTATGAACTGTCCGCCCCAAAAAGTGGTCGTTGAAGAGAGTTTTCCCGTTGTGATGAGGTGGCCGCCAGTAGAGATCCGACCTTATAACCGCTTCGAATTCGGAAGTTGAAACAGAAAATTCATCCCGATTTTAATCCCACAAGGTCCCACAAAGGTCATGTGACTCATTTAAGCGCATTATAACGCTCAACTTTGGGGATAGGCACTTTCGAAATATCGTTTACTTCTTTCAAAAGGACGCAAAACAAGTCTTCAATTGCCGTATGGACTTATAGCGAGTGGAATTATGCACTCCTTCGGAATATTGCTCTTCTTACCTTTATTTCGTCGTTCGTGACTAAGAAAACGTATTAAGTGATTTGTAACCAGGATCACATTGGTTGTTTACCATGGGTAAACCGGTCGGTTCACGGACCGGTTAATTTCGTCCCGGAATTACGTTTACCATTTTTGCAAGTAAGTTCCATTCACCAAAAAACGGCGCAAAGGCCGGAACCTAGTATCGAAGATGGCTTTCAAGAAATGCAACACGCCGAATTTCCGATTGGAACCTTCCGTCAGGAAAACTGGATGATCTTTTCAGATGTTCCGTTACTGCTGCTCCGGGAAATTTTCCTCTTATACGACCCAAAAAGTCGTGTACCATTTATTTTCCTACCGGTATTTCCAGAATTTTTTGGAAATGGTAAACAATTATTATCTTTATGAATCTCATCTATTGATACTGTCGAACCCTGACTCCCTTTTTTTAACTGCAGATGATGTCACGTTTGAGTTTCCTTTTCTTAATCCTGTATGTTGTAATACAGCGGGAGGCAGTTGGTGTTAAGGGGTGTTGTAGCTGCGAGGAGGTAATTTAAAGATTTCAAAACGTTCTTGGCATTTAATAATCTATAAGCATTATACTTCCTTTTGCAATCATTACGTTATCGTTCTTTCCACTTTCTTTTCGGTTTCCATGTAAGTTAATTCAAGTCTTGGATTCTGGATTCCACGCTGTGAATTCCGCATTCAAGGTACTGGATTCCGGATTCTTCATCGTTGGTGGAACTTGGATTCCGGATTCCAATCGTTTGCGAGATTCGGGATTCCTTGAGCTAAGTTCGGGATTCGAACGCTCAAGATTTCAGATTCCACAGGCAAAAATTTTCCTGTATTCTGGAATCTGGATTATCTTACGTTGGGAAATTCTGGATCATTTTAAGTTCCTGGGAAACTGCCCACATACCCCTCCTCTAAGCCAACACTACCACTTACGTCTCACTTAGGGCAAAATATTGGCTTAAGGTGATTCCTTAGTAAAAGAACCTGACATAGATTGTAAATGAAACTTGGTACCCTGATGTAACAAGTCAAAATGATGATAAAAAAGTAATAGAAAGTGGGGGTCACCGTGCTCGTTTTGACGTCACAATGCTGACAAATAGGGCTATTTAGGACCCTTTGACAAAAACCGCGGGCAGCCAAAACTAGACAAAAAGGAGAGATTTTTTCGATGGTATCGCATAGAATTTGACTTTAATGTATTTTTTATCCACTTACGTACCAGAAAAATGCCTTTTAATGTCCTTGTTTTTACTTTACGCTCCAAAGTAGAATTAAATTGGACACGCGCTCTTCGACCCGTGATAGCTCAATCCGTACAATTTCAGTAGCAAAACTGCCAAAAAACTGAACATAGATTTGTGCCAATTTTTTTCTCATCGAAAGGAAGCACTGTCCTTTTTAAAATCATGAAATAAAAAATAGGGGTCACCGTACTCGTTTTTGCGATAGAGCTGCAGAAAGTGCGCACCAAATGAATTTTTTTCCGGTTTTTGAGAGAGGACTGGGGCGAGTTTCGAAATAGAATGTATGTGAAAGGGGGAATAAAGTATTAAAAATCCGTTTTTACAGAATTTACATCGACATATTACATTTAGGACACAATGTGATAAAGAGAGCGTTTAAATGAAAATCAAAGTTAGTAAGCACAAGTTAAATATCCACTATCGAGGTTCTCCGTAAGGAAGTCGAACTTAGCAACACGCATATTGCTTACGTTATGCACATTCCCAACAGATTGAGTCTCACCTGGGCAAGAAACAACAGCAAACAAAAATTCCAATAGCGTTTCTTTTCAGTCAACCTCATTTTAATAATGTTACTTCACACGCTCTTTTTTACGGCGGCCATCTTGTTATGCGCAGTAAGAGATGCGCAGTGCAAAACCAGGGAATCACCTTAAGAGGAAGGGGTAGGTGGGCAGTTTCCTAGAAACGTGTAATGAACCCATATTAACAATTCGACTTGAAGACAACTACAAATAACTTACTAACCGTCAGTTATCTTTTGTCAGTTTCCCAAAGACTGCTTCAGTCTTCCACCGAACTCACCAAGTGGTGTGTATAAGATACAGCCCCTGGTCGACGAAAAGCCTTTTGATGTTTACTGCGAGATGGCAATTCATGGTGGAGGCTTCACCTTTCTTCCTCGTGGCTTCACTAGATTACCATATGCAGAAAATATCGTCAAAGTTTTATTTCGAGACAAGAAGAACGTACTACTTAAATTGCAGAAAAAGGTTGATCGTAGCGAGGCATACACTCTGATCCAGCCTCATCCGTCGTTCGCGAACACAGAGTTTGGTGTGTTAATCAACAGCTTCCAGGGTTACACCAAGCCACTGAACGCCTTCATGAAAGAGTACATCTTCCTCGGTATTATTCCTGCATCCGCTGCACGCCAGCGAAGTGTTCAAGGCTTTAGATGCAACGGGCACATAGTCCAGTTCAAAAATTGTGATGCCAATCCCAACAGCTTTTTTGCATTTATGCCAAACCACAATCTGGAAACTCTGGGTTCCTACAGCGGTAACTCAATCTACGAGAAAGTAGGTGTGGGTGTCGACTGGCGCTCCAAGGCAATTCCCATCACCCATCCTGATCGCATCATGCCGAACGAGTTCTTCTTCTTGACAGAGATGCATTTTGGAGGTTGTGGAACCTACACCTCCAGTAACCGATGGAGCAAGTTTGGCTTTCATGCCACCGCCATTGGAATTCGCTAAGAGTTGGCTTTTCCCTCCTCACCTTTAGATTGCTAATTTTTGTGTTGACTTATTTTAGGGTAAACCTTTGAAATTTTGGTGTTTCAGTTTTCACAACGATTCCAATAAAACGGTTTCAGATTAGATGTAAATGTAAGTTAAATTCATGTCCGACAAAAACAGGCGAGAACAAAGAAAAATAAAAGTTGTTAAAATGGCCTTTGAGCCTCTTACATCTTGAAGACCGGCATTGCAACAAAAATATCTTTGATTAGCGACACACAACGGACGTCATTATCACTAGCAGTGGGAGCAGCAGTTTAAATTGCGATTGTTTACTCCGAATACGCTCGCATCGGTCAGATTTCACCCGACGACTGCCAGTTGATTCTGTAAAATATCTGTTCGAACATGCAAACAAAGTCTATAATTTTCTATAGCTTGGGGACGGTTGAACAGATGAACTTTCCATTCGGGGGTGGGGGGGGGGAGAGACGAGGTCTGGGACGAGAAACCACATTCTCACAACTCGCAAAGCGGTCACCCTGCGTGGTGGTCAGCGGATAATAGCAATATATGTCCCCATACATGAAGTACCTACCAGTTTTTTTCCTACAGTAAATATTTTGGCAGAAGAGAGAAGCGAACCGGCAGAGGAAATTATTTAAAAATTGAAAAAATAATATCATGCATCTTTGTTTTCTTGCAAATCATATTTGTCTTTTGGTACTGAAATTGCGGGTGGAAACTAAACCGCAACCGTGTTAGATCTTAACCAACAACAACACGTTCGATCGATTTGTAGGTTACATAGCCTGCGTAGCAAGCGTTTCCTGGCGAGGTTCGTCTAGAAAGTTGGGGCAAGAGCGAAAAAAAAAAATGAATGACGGGGAAGGGGGAGGGGAAAGAAGGAACCGCTTGCCCGCAAACCCCACGATTTTGAAAAACTGCGTTCGCCCACGAACGCAGCCTCTGATTGGCGCGGTGCGGGTAGTGTTGATTACTTGGCATTCGAAACATCAATCAAACCAGGTATGCTTTGTTTTCGTGCGTCACAGATCTGGTCTCATCTGATTTGTGGTCGCAGATTACCAATGCTTTTAGCCTGCGTAGCAAGCGTTTCCCCGCGAGGTTCGTCTAGAAAGCTGGGACAAGAGAATACAAATGCTTTTTTTTGCTTCCGCTCTAACTTTGGCGCAATAACTCGATTGGAAACGCTTGCTACGCAGGCTACAATGCTTTGGACTGATATTTATTGGAATCGCGTTTGTGCGAAGGTTTATGAGATCAGAGCCTTCAAAGTATAATTGGAGATCGAGCAGTAGAGACTAGGGAAGGCGAATTTATTGAGAATGACGGCGTGCGGATCTGACTGGAAAAAATGGACTGTTTGATGGAGATAACATGAACATAAAGAGAACATCGGTACTCGATACTAGCTGAAGCCGCCATGGACAAGCGATTTGTCAGCTTTTTGAAATGAAAAGATTCTTTTTGTTTATTGGAAATTTAGCGGCATCTATTGTAGAGAACGTTTCGATACAGGCTGAAGAGCAGCCGCTCTGCAAAACTTATACCCGGCGGAGTGAATTGTTCCGGACAAATCATTTTTGACGTGTCGACAAGGTTTCAGACGAGATAAAGCCACACGATAAAAAAAACAAGAAATTCCGCAGCAATCGCTCATGGTTTTAACTTTCTTCTATCGTAAATCTTTTTTGTTACAGTTCTTGCAATCGCCTGCAACTTGTTCTATTAGAGAACAAAGTAATTTTACAAATCTGGTAATCCAGGGGTAATCTGTTCGTATGTTTCTATTTTGACGAGCTGTCAATTTACAAATGAACCGCGCGCCGAACCGTGAAATATCAAGGGGCGTTTTCCAGAATCGTGGGGTTTGCGGGCAAGCGTTTCCTGTTCTCCCCTCCCCCTCCCCCTTCAACCTTTTTTTTGCTTCCGCTCTACCTTTCGCGCAATAACTCGATTGGAAACTCTTGTTACGCAGGCTATAGGTTACATCGTATTTGCTGGGCGAGGATATCTGAAGGTTATAGAAGTTATGATGCTGATAAAAATTACTGGAGAAAGTGTCCAGTTTATTGGGAGTAAGTATACTTAAGAGAGCCATATGAATATGAGCTTACAGCTGTACATATCGTACCTGAATAAACATATAGTTATAATTCGTATAAACATTTCAGAGTCATTTCACTTCGTTTATTACGATCAGTCAATACCTTGAATTCAAAATTAAACTTTAAAACAATCCTAAATAAACAAATCACAACTACGACTGAAAGCTCTGTCTCTTGAAGTCACCTTAACTTTTCCAAGGTTTATTGCAGCAAACCACTAATCTATAGCTCAACTCTTCGGCCGTTCTTATCAGCTATACGCAGCTATATGTTGCGTATTCCAAACTCTGCAGAGGGAAATTGTTTAACAGAAAAAGAAAACCACACTTTATGTCTGAAAAGCGACGTAAAATCAAAAACATTGCGAATTACCAAAATATACATGTAACAGTGAGAAACTTTCCCGCCTTGGGGGACCAGGGGCGCTTTCCATTCAACAAAAATTCCGGTTTGAAATTTCGGAAACTTCACGTGCTCAATGGAACGGTACATTCCGGTTTCACAGACCGGACCCAAGCCACCTCGGGTACACTCGACTGTCGAAAAGTGGCGGTGGAAAACTAAAGGCGAAGGAATCCTATTTCGTGTAGAAAACCATATTTTTGCAAGCGAAGAGTATGCATACAAGTGAAGGTAAAAAATTCGCGTGAATTGAAGCGATCCGTTTCTTAGAACTGATTCGAACAATTCGAAGCAATTCCTAGAACTGTACGGTAAACAAATTCGGTGTTTTGGCCAAATTTGTATTCAGCCAGGCTTGTTGTATTTATTTCAGCCTAATTGATAAATTGCTTTCATTTGGTTAAATATCGTGGACAGGTCTCAGACAAATAATACGCTGATTTATTCTTACCGACTTTTAAACAATTGTAAGCTATTGTAACTTGATTACACACACTTTTTTTCACCTACGTGTCGTGTTGCGTCAGTTATTTGACACTGTTAATGGCAAATATCAAAAATCGAAAGAAATTGCAACTGATTCAAACTATTTGAGATGTCATGCTTTACTCACAGCACTTCACTTTCCACTGGAAACTACTTGTTCTT